CTTTCCCTAGTATTTATCTGTAAAATTGTGCCTACCACTGGGAGGATATCCCTTAGTGGTGGCCGGCCCTATTGGATAAGGGAGAGAGGATTTTGTTTCAAAATAAAATTTGAAGTGGGAGATAATTAACAAACTTTATCTTAGAGATAAAGATAAGACATCTTCTAGGAGTCTGATTGTTACTCTATAAAATAAGAGATTGTAGAAAATTTTGAGATACAATTTTTTCTCTCAAAAAAGGCTATAGTAGTTGAATTTATAGAGTGAGGAAGAAGAGAAATTTTCTCCAAAAATTTCACATCGTGTATGTGTTGGTGTTCGTGAAAATCTTGAGTGTTCTTACAAATCTCATTTTGTTTCAGGTGTGCCTACACACACGTCTTCATAGATTCAAGAAATTGACAAGGAAGATTCAGGTTTTCTAAACTAGCATTGGAGCGAGGAACGTTCGAGGTCAAAGAACACGAGTTATCATCCTAATCGGTTGCTAAGTATAATTCCCAAACCGGTTCTTGGTAAATAAATTAATGTGATTAATTTATTTGTGCATAAATTAATATAATCTATACAGTATCTTAAAGGTTTTATGAAAATATTTGTTATGCACGATCCACTACTCACACACTTTCGCATCCGAAATTATTTCGAAAACCAACACATATAATATACAATCATCCAATAAATATAAGTATAAAATATGCAATCGGCTATTGAGATGAATTTGACCGGGTCCCATGGAAAGAAAATGGGATTAGCGAATAAACACTCAAAGTTTCCACGAACCCCAACACATGCAGGATGTGAAATTTTTGGAGAAAATTTTCCTTCCCATACTCTATAGAAACCGGCCACTAATGCTAGGAGAGAGTAAAAATTGTTGTCTCTAAATTTTCTACAATCTCCTATTTTATAGAGTAATAGTCAGACTCCTTCTAGGAGTCTAATCTTTATCTCTAAGATAAAATTGGATAATTATCTCCAACTTCAAATTTGATTTTGAAATAAAATTCACTCTCTCCCTTATCCTATATGGCCGGCAACCGTAGGGGAATTCCTCCATGTGGTAGGCGCAATTTTACAGATAAAGAATAAGACAAAATTTTATCCTACAGTTCAATTTTAACTTAAATTGAAATTCCTACATATGTCCAACTTAAATCAATTTGAATTTCAAATTGGACAACTTATCAAATAAGTTAATTGGGTAACTATGGAGAGCAAGCAATTTGAATCCCAAAGGGATTCACACTGTGCTGTGCGTTTACCCTATGTGAACACCTTCACATGTGTGTTTCAAAATTCAAATTTAAACTTATACTTAAGTAATCACATTATTTAATTTATAATTAATTCTCAATTAATTATCCTTGAGCGTTTTATTTTAGAATTCTATAATTCAAAAATTCTCATTTTGCCCTTAGTGTCTTGTAGAATTACAAGGACGACGCCGGGACTCATGGACCTATAATTTTGAGCTCTAATAAAATTCATAATTAATTAAACTCTTTAATTAATTAATTAATTATATTAATTCTAAAAGTTACTTCACTATAAACTTAGAATTGTACTCTCGTAATTATAGACATAAATTACTTCTAAACTGTGAAGTGTCCATTTACTATAGTCATTGCATATAGATTAATCCTCCATAAATAATTCATAAAAAGAGCTAGGTGAAATCCCTTAACCACTCTAATTACATCTTTATCCTTTAGTACCATTGATTCTCTAATGAACAGTGATTTATGAAACAAATTCATGAATCAGAGCTCTAACTGATCCAAATACAGAATCAACCCTCAAGAGAATTATTTATCTACTTCTTTCTCAAGAAGGAATGGATTCCATCTCATATAATACCATTCTCAGCTACTCACTTCATCATGTCTCCAAAATACAAGGAATAGGACTCAGGATCTCAGAATCTGTACAGAGTAAATCAAAAGACACAAATCCATAAATAGGAATCTACTAAGAACTTAGAAATAAGATCATTCTATATATGACCATCAGTAGACTCAATTAGAATTTCTATACTTAATGGAACTTATTAGAAATCCATATTGTCTGTGTGCCTATTCCACATAATCTCATTATGTGTAATACACTTATTCAATAAATCGACATATTAACAGCGTGGATAACACTATTCCATTCTAAATGGGAATGACCTATATTAGTAATATTTTAATTAAAGATTCTAAACTTTAATTAAATTCATTACGAACATTATTTTGATTATTATCCTTAAATATTATCCTCTCACATATAACACTTATGTACAATATTTAAGGTCACATAAATAATCATGAAATTTTCACTGATATTCATTAAATATTCATTAATATATGCACAAAAAAATAATGAATAAACTCTTTTATTAAATAAATAATAAATATCATATTACATCTCATGCTTCTAGGACACCATTCCCAACATTATTCATAGAGGATTGATCTATATGTAATGGCTATATCAAATGGACACCTCAAGATTTGGAAGTACATTATATCTTTAATTACAAGAGTGCAATTCTTAGTTTATTGTGGAGTAACTTTTGAATTAATAAAATTAATTAATTAATTAAAGAGTTTGATTAATTATTATTATTATTGCTCCGAATTATCGGCACATGAGTCCATGCGTCGTCCTTGTAAATTTAAAAGAACATTAAGGACAAAATGAGAATTTTAAAATTATGAAATTCTAAATTAAAACACTCAAAAATAATTAATTGAGAATTAATTGGATATTAAATAATGTGATTATTTAATTTGAATTTTTGAATTCACATGTGGTGGGATCACATGCATGCCACACGCCCAAGCTATTGGAATCCTCTGGAATTCGTTTACTTGCTCTCTAAGTTATCCGGTTGACTTATTTGATAACTTATCCAATTATAATTCAAATTAAATTAAGTTTGACTTTAATATAAATTTGAATTTATGTCAAAATTGGACAACTATATAAAGAAGATATCTTCTCCTTTCCTTATCTGTCAGTGGTGCCAACCACAGTGATAGACACTATCGTGGCCGAATTTTGTTCCAAAATAAATTAAAAGTGGAATTGATTATCTCTTATTTTTTCTAAAACCTTATCTAAGAGATAAACAGTTTATCTCTAAGACTCCAAGTGCTAGTTTATAAATAGGAGAGGTTGCAGAAAATTGGAGAATATAATTTGCACTCCAATAGTTGGCGACCGAAAATTGGTGTGAGGAAAAAAAGAAGAAAAGTTCTTCATCACAGTTCGACGTCGTGCATGAGTTGGTGTTCATAGAAGACTTGAGTGATTTGAGTGCTAATCCTATTTTGTATTACACATATGTTCTTTGTGGATTAAGGAATTGACAAGGAAGATTCAGGTATTCAAAACAAGCTCGAGCGAGGATTGTTCGTAGTCAAAAAATTCAAGTTATCATCCTAATCGGTCGCTAGGTAAAATTCGTAATCCAATTCTAATTAGTGTAAATTAATATGTCATATAAAGTATTTTAAGAGTTTTATGAAAATTTTTGTTATACACGATCTATAGAAACACACTTCCGCATCTGAAATCGTTTCAGAAACCAACAATTGACATTAGAGAGGTCTATAGACTACATTAATTTATACTAAAATTATGCGATAATCAAATTAATATTAAGTATGTGACATTTAATTGATGTATGTTTATAATGGACAGACACTTCTACATTTATAGATGTTTACTAATATTTATTTATTAATAAATTAATAAATTATTTATTTATTGATAAATTAATAACCTCGGTTAAATAATATTCTTTTCATAGTCCCAACAATATTATTATATCAAGGTTTTACTGTATACTCTTTCTTTACTTTCCTCCTCTCATGCATTACTCAGTCCAAACAATAATAAAAACAATTTATTACTTCAAATTACAATTTTGACATAACAAAATTACAATGCTACCCCCATTGTCAACTGCGGTAATCCTAGCCCATCGATCTGACCTTAATGGTAATCCCAACCTGACCCCTAGTACTGATCATGGCTCATCAATATGACCTTAGTGGCGGTCCTTGCTCGCCAGCCTAACCGTATAGACAAGCTTAACAACAACATTAATCCCTACTCGTTCACCTTAAAATTTTTTCTAAAAAGAATTGAAAAAAAGAAATTTTTTTTTTCGTAATTTAAAAAAATGACACCCTTAAAAAAAAATAAAAAATAAAAAAAAAACCTTTTGTTAAAAAATAAAATGAAAGTTACTAGGGCCCTGTTCATTTCGCTGATTCGAGTTTAGAATTCGAGTTGAGATGTGATTTTATGTGAGAACTTTTTACTGTAGTAAAAAAGTTAGATGTGATTGTTTGTGAGAGCTTTTTACTGTAGAAAAACTCGAATTCTAAACTCGAATCAGCGAAATGAACGGAGCCCAAATGAACCCTAAATAAGTACATAATTTCTTAAAAAAAAAAAAACAAAAAATTAAAAAAATTAAAAACAAAAACTAGGAGCACGTCTGCTAAATGAAAGCCTGCCACGTGTTCAAGTACATTAGTCATTACATTGCAAGGCGGGACATCGACCCTGTCCCACGCACTATTGGGATCCGTCAAAAAGAAGGACGAATAAGGACGGTAAGACGTCCATATTCATTCTTCTCTCCAAAATTTAATATTGTACGAACACGGCCTCTCTACGCCAAGCTCATCTCCAAAATCTTCCTCCTTTTCTCCTCTTTCTCGATTCTCATTTCTCACACAGAGAGAGAAAATCCCAAAAGATACACAGTTTTTCTAATTTCTAGAGAGAGAAACTCTCCAAACACACATATATATACACATATACATACATATATACAGATATATTTGTAAAGATGAGCAGGACAAGGAAAGGAGAGAAACAAGATGTTTCTAACTGTAGCTACCATGTCGTTCACAAACTCCCTCCTGGAGATACCCCATATGTTCGTGCCAAGCACGTCCAGGTAAAATCCAAACCATGAAATTCTCTGTATTTGTATATGATGTTCAAATTCGATTTTTTTTTTATTTAATTTGATTTTGTTTTTGTTTAGAGATAGCAGTTTTTCTGTTTTGTTGTGATCATTATGTTTTCAATCTGTGATTTGATGTTGTTTCGTGATCAATTTAGATTTTTTTTTTTTTTTTTTTTTTTTTTGTAAATAGGAAATTAAAAAAAAAAAATTGACTTTATATAAGGCATTTTTGTTAATTTGTTGATTTTGGATAGTATGTTTGTTGAAATAAAATAGGAAATTTAATTTTAGTCGTGAATCCGTGTTTTTGTGATCTAGAAAAGTGTTGCTTGAATTAAGAGGCGACATTTAAACGGATTATTATTATTATTATTACTACAAGCTTAAAAAGTCAATATCGTCCTCGCAAAACAGTTGAAACTTATTATCGATTTTTATTGGCCGTTTATTGGGTAGACCCAACCCATAATCATGACCCTACCATGAAATTGCTGGAGTGGTCTGGACCTAATAATTCTGACTTTTTATCATTTTTTATTTTTTTTTGGATAAAGGAAAAATGAAAGTAGTTTTAAGGGAGTTGAAAATGTGATGGGGCGCACTGAAAATCCGGGATTGGAGTTTCTTTTCTCATCTTAAAATTACGTAAATACATTTTTCCAAATGGATTGACGGAGAGATACACGTAATAGTTAGAATTAGCGTCGATGTAGGTATAGCCTAGCGGTAACTCCACACATACTCAATTATAAGGTGACGAGTTCAAATCTTTTAACCCCAAGTTAAAAAAAAAAAGGTTAGAATTAGTGTAGGAATAACAAAATTTATCAATTATGAGACCTTCGATGATGGACAAATTGGTCTGGCCATTAAAATTTGAGATGCTTTGATTAGGTGGAACTGAACAACAAAAACATCAATCAACAGTCCGAAATTTTTTTTTTTTACCATCATCTAACGCTTGAAAAAACGTTGCATTGTGCTACCATAATTGACGGGTCCTACCGCAGTTTGATATTGAACTTATGTCATCTTCATTAGCTGTCTGTGTCATCGAGCTCCGATAGGCTTACTTCATCACAGTGGTTGTCGTGTCAATGTTATATTTCATTAGTTTTCTTCATCTCCAAAGTTTTGAATTAAATTGTTGATATCGTTGATGAATCATGATGTCCTAAATTGGCACCATCTCCTATGATTGGAAGGGAAGAAAAAACTTACAGTAAAGCAAATATTGCTATTGTCACACTTATGTTGTGCTTTCCAAATGTTAAGCTTAAATATATTGATGAACTCAATGTTATTCCCTTGTGAACTTTTTTTTTTATTTATAATTCTGATTTGAGTTTACATGCAAATGTAGTTGGTCGAAAAGGATCCAGATGCGGCTATAGTGTTGTTCTGGAAGGCAATAAATGCAGGAGACAGGGTGGATAGTGCCCTCAAAGACATGGCTATAGTTATGAAGCAGCAAGATAGAGCAGAAGAAGCAATCGAAGCGATCAAATCTTTCCGAAATCTCTGCTCCAAACAAGCTCAAGAGTCCCTAGACAATGTGCTCGTCGATTTATACAAGGTTAATATCTAGTAGAACTGCTATTTAATTGGCTTTCTACACGGTGATATGCTTAAGTCTTTGACCAGTTACGTCTTATATTATTCAATGTTGCTATATTAAGTTTTTGAAATAAGAATGAAAATCTTCTCCCTATCTTTGCATTTAGTTCTAACCATTGAAAGCTCAGCAGAAATGTGGGAAAGTTGAGGATCAAATAGATCTGCTGAAGCAGAAGCTTCGGATGATTTACCAAGGAGAGGCCTTCAACGGCAAGCCTACCAAGACGGCACGCTCTCATGGACGAAAGTTTCAGGTCACCATCAAGCAAGAGACCTCCAGGATACTGGTACTTAAGTTATAAAAGTGGTAGACATTTCTGTATTTGTTAATTATTCACCACTCATGAACAAAATCTAACTTCATGTTATTTTGATTACAGGGTAACTTAGGTTGGGCCTATATGCAGCAAGGAAACTATTTAGCAGCTGAAGTAGTGTACAGTAAAGCTCAAGAAATTGACCCGGATGCTAACAAGGCTTGCAACTTGTGCCTGTGCCTGATGAAGCAAACGCGATATAGCGAAGCACAGACGGTTCTTGAGCACGTGTTGCAAGGTAAGCTTTTGGGATCTGATGAACCCAAGTCAAGAAACCGCGCTGAAGAACTACTGAAGGAGCTGAATCAGTGCCAGTCTACAGTGTTTTCGTCGAATTCTTTAGGGTTAAAAATAGAGGATGCTTTTCTTGAGGGGCTTGACCAGTTGATGAACCAATGGACACCATTTAGATCAAGGAGACTTCCCATCTTTGAAGAGATCTCTCCATTCAGAGATCAGTTGGCTTGTTGAGTTATAGAAAAAAAAAAATACTTGTTCTTCTTTCTTGAGTGCGGAGTGTATCATTGTAACAATTTTAAAATGAGTGCCTAATAGTAAATGTAAATACCCTTTTTGTCTGATGGGAATTGGGACTCTCGCTCGTGAAGCAGGATGTAATTTGCTGTATTTCACCTAGCTTATGATACCTCCAACAAACTACACAGTTTTCACCTACGGACGGAACACTGGCAATTCAAAAGTACTTTTAATATCTTTTTAACAATATTCACTCCCTCTAAAGGAGGAGGAAAAGAAAACGTGTGTGTGCGCGCGCGGGGGTGGGTGGTGTTGTGTATAGCCGTGGGTTGTGTTGGAAACTCTTTACATGTACTCTTCAAGTTTAGCTATGGACGCGCAAGTAGGAGATAATTTTGTATTTTAGAAAAAATTAATAATTTATAGACAATAGAAATAGATTATTTTTGTATATTTATACATGAATATATACATTTTTTTTCAATTGTAAAATATAACTTTTAAAAGATATTAGTATTAGTAATTGAAAAAATTAGAAATAGTAGGATTTAGAAGTAGTTACGTTACCTGGTTCGTGTACGTTTTCTTAGTTGTTCTATTTCTTGGTCCTTGGAACTATAATAATAAAATGTTAATAAATTATGTATTTAAAGTTATAAGTATTGCTTTTTATTTGTAAATAATGTAAAATAGTAAATATATATTACCTGGTGGTTGATTTTTTTGGATCTGGTGTATGTGGATCTATTGATGTTGTTGTTCTTGAGGGGGGCTAGGCCTGTAAAATATTGTTTAAATATGTATTTAAAGTAAAAAATATGTTTTTTTATATATAATTAATAAAGATGAGTAAATATGTTTTACCTTGTAGTTGATGTTCCAGGTGTTGGTATTTGTGGTGGTGCTGTTATCAATTCAGTTTCTTCAAATATTTTTGAGACAATTGTAGTAATTTGAGGTTCTTTTGTTTGAAAATATATTTGGAAGATCTTTGTTTCACCTCTTAGTTGGTTGATGATTGTTGGGATTATGAATGGGTCCGTAAATCCTTCGTCAATTGTTAATGTTGAGCATGGTTTTTTTATCAAGGCTTGTGCTGCTCTGCCAAATATGGTAATATCCATGTTTGCAGTATGATCCTCAATATATGCGCTTAGTCTATACCTGTAATTTATAAGATAATAGATAATTTAGGTTATAAAGTATTTATTTTTGCTAATCAAAGTAAATAAATTTTGATTATAGTATATTTATAGTTTTAGTTACCATGGAGATGGTGTTGTCTTTATGTGTCCATGGCTATCGCACCACCAATTGGTTCCTGCCTCTTTTAGCTGTCGATAGCATCTAGGGCAGGAATTATAATACCAACCTTGATTTGCTGAGAATTTAGTTATAGTAGCCTTTACTGTGAATTTAGTGCCCTATATACATGTGGAAATATTTTTAGCTTAAATAGTGTAATTAAAGGAAAAAAAAATAGATGGAATATTATGATACTAACTTGGTTGTTTTCCTGATCCAATGTCTTTAGTTCATCAATTGTTCTCCTATTTAGTGTTTTTTTCTCTTCAATAGATTGTGTTGGTACTATTGATGCTATTGAGAAGTCAATTTCTTGAAGCTGCTGAGAGAATCTATATATATATATAATTAATTATTATTATGAAAAAATTTGCATAAAGTTTGGGGATTTGTTTCTTACCTTGTTTTTAATGTTTGTGTTTCTGGTATGTCTCGATCAAGATAGAAGATTGTTGTTGCAGTACTTGATACATATGCATTGCCTTAAACATAAACAATAAATTGGTTAATATTTTGATGAATTAGATGTAAATATTTTATTTTATATGTTATTATCTTTATAAGTTGTTAAAAAAAATACCTACATATTGTTTCACCAACATTGCTGTAAAAACCGCAACCACTGGTCCTTTCATTGATTTAATGACATTTTCGTCAAATTGATCTGCTTTATGTCCCCATAATGTGACTTGAAGCTGTTCATTTCTGTGAGAAAAAAAGGGTAAAATAAAAAAGTTAGAATGAATAGTTTTAAATGATGTAAAACTTTTATAGCTTTATTAAATATAAATTTTTTTGTATGATTGTGGTAATGATTGTGAAAAGTTAATTTACCTTATATTTTGTATCATTATAGTCCGTCAAGATGTTTGTCTATCGTTGATATTTGTTTGTTCAATTGTTTGCACTCTTGTAAGAACACCGATGACATATGTTCAAAAATAAATAGTAAATGTTAAAGACGTTACTTAATACATTGATGATGTATTTTTTTCGTGTGGAAAAAGTAGTTTTATCACCACTTAGGATTTCAGTTGACTGAATTCTGTGCTGAAGCTGATCGAATTCGATGAATTAGAATCTATGAAATGGAATAGGCAGTGCTTGTTATGTAACTGGAACAAAGACTGTTGCGCGTGCAAATTGTAGCATTGTAATATGTGGCACTGTCATGCCCCCAAACCGGGGTTAGTGACATGGAGGCTCGTTTAGAAACTTAAACCTGTTTGAGAGAGCGATTAGCAAATATTTTAATTTCTTCAAATTCAAAACATCCAGGTATTTCCAAACGAGCCCTTTTCATTCAAGAGAAATTCAATTTCAAGAACGGTGGTGGAATTTCCAACCAAACCAGTTTCAAACCACATCCCTGGTATCAAGTCAGGAATTCCCACAGGTGTTTAGCATACATGAATATAAACAAAAGAGAGTGTGACATCAACCACAGTCTAGTAATATTTAAGTTTACAATCCACAATCTTTTATACATGCCTTGAAATAAAAGATAAGAGGAAAGATAACTCTTCACTTTCTGAGGTCAAGTCCACGCGACCGGTAGTAGCTACCTACTCCGCACTACTCCTCGCGTCTCCTGGAGGGGTTTAATGCATTTGAAAACAAGAAAGGTGAGTGAAAGGCCCAGTAGGATATAACTTTATAAAGCATTTAAAATAAAGGTACTCACGGTCTGAAGATATACACCCGGAACCGGTCATCCCTTTTTAGAAAAGGAGATACTCACAGTAAAAAATATATGTATAATGAAAGTATGCAGCTCATCATACCACTAAACAAGAAGCAGTAAAAATGTCTGTCTATGAAAAGTGCAGAGCCATAATTCCACTAAACAAGAAGTGGATCCGTACGGGTTTCGGGACCTGCCCCCAAGGATGCGATTCCCACATCCCGATCTTTGTGGCCACCATGCATTGTATCATTCCTTAAAATATTTCATTTTAAGAAATGATACTCTTTAAAAATCTCATTTCCAAAATCATTGGAAAACCTAATAGCATTCACATGCTATTTCTTTTAAAATCATTTACTTTAATCATGTTTTGTTCTAAAACATTTTCATTGGCTAAAACCATTTAAAGTAAGGCTAACAAGGATATGGACAAGAATATCCTACCTGTTGGATATCAAACCTGTGGCTGTCTTCACGTAGCCCTAGCTCCACTTGCCTTTGAGGCTCCAATTCCAATCGTGCCACTAACTTTCCCATCAAAATCAACAATTTAGAGTTTGACCTTTCTCATCAAACATTCTCGTTTAATTAGATGCAATTGTATCATATTAGTGTGCCATAGTTCAAAATCAATGTTCATAAACAATTCTTAATTCAAATCATGATTCTTTGTAGATAGAGATTCATTCCGGAGAATCGAATGGAAAACAAGGATTCATGTGGCTAATCCACTCATTTTGAGTTCTCAAATGAGGTTAGGTCAATCCCACATTGAGTTTCGGGGTCAAAACAGGGTTTTTAGGACTGTTTATGGTCGGTTTCAGTGGGAACCGGTCGACTGGTGACAGAGGAGTGTAACCCTACCGGTCAGCCGGTGGAGAGGTGACCGGTCGACCGGATCGGTCAACCTATGGAAGGGTGACCGGTCAACCGGTGGGGAAAAATTCCAGGGCCAACAATGGCCGATTCGCGAGGAATAAAGCCAAAACCTGCAAATTTTGGGTCTGATTTCGACATATTCTCACGGAAAATGTATAGATCCAGTTTTAAATCAACAAATAGGGTCCAAAGAATAAAAAATCCCCAATTTTCATCAAGGTTTCACCAAATCCCATTTGGATTCCATTTGAAAACAAAAATTTAAAAGAAAAATCACCAAACTCGACTAAAATGAGTTCCACAAAGCTAAATCCGAAAATCTAAAGTAAGTTTCAAAGAGTTTTACCTCGATCCAAGCTTTGATGTTGAAAACCTCTTGGAAACCTCCATTTTTGGTTTAAATCCAGCCCTTGAGAAGGAAAACTTTGAGAGAGAGAGGGAGAGATGAACGGGAGAGGAAGAGAGAGAGAGAGAGAGAGAGAGAGCTTGAGAGAGAGAGAGAGAGTGTGAGGGAGAGAGCTCGGGAGATCAAGAGAGGGAGAGAGAGAGTAACTAAGAGAGAGTGTGAGTGAGTGAGAGGGTTACGGGAGAGGAGGGAAAAGGAAAGAAAGAAAGAAAAGAAAAGAAGAAAAGGAAAATAAAATGAGGAAAAGAAATAATAAAGAAAGACAAATAAAAGTAAAGAGGGGTGAAACTGTAAATACTAAAAATAAATTTAAAAGTTCATGATTAATTAAGAAAATCAATTTATGCACACTAATAAACCACAATTATCATAATTAAACAAGTTTAATTCTAGAGGGCGTTACAGGCACAACTTTGTATGTTGATTTGTTCTCAGAGACGAAGAAGTTGCTAATATCATATATATTGCCTAATTGAATTTTTTGGTAAATAGTATCTGAATCTCGTGCCCGAATTGATCCTTGAATTGCTTCATGCTGCAGATATAAAAGGTAGTATTGTTATTAGATTTATAATATTTTGTATTAAATGAAAAATAATAGAATATTGTATTTGTTAAAAAATATTACCTCTTCGTCGACTAAAACTCAATCAAGACTGATTAAACATCTAGTGCTCAGATCATTAAGCATCCATAATCTCCAGATTCTAACCCTGATAGTTTCCTAAACTTCATTTGGTTTTAGGGCTCGAATTAATGTCGTCATTTGGGCTAACTATTGGCAAAAAAAGGTAATTATTTTAGTGCATGAAGATAGGAAGCTTT